CCGCCTGGCCAGACAAGACCTAACCACTCTCACATCTCTCATTATGCCCACTTTGACTGGTGAAATAAACAAAACTTGACTAAAGTAGAAAAGTTTAGACCATACCTGTGCATTACAACCCCAGAATTTCCAAAATGGACCAAACTTTTCAAGAGAAAAAAGATTTTCAAATGTATTAACTAGGCTCTAGAATGCAAATGTGGCGTCTGCCCTTCTGGGATACAGAAAAAGAGAGTTGAGCAAAACCTACCCCCCTGGCTGACACACTGAAGGGTTGTGATTATGTTCCCCAAAGATGAAGTTCATTAATAGCTCCCTTGGGAATTGAGAGCGACCTCATACTCAGTGTCTGTGCCATATCCCGAGGCTTGTACAGAAGTGTGCCAGTATACCTACCAACATCACATGATTTTTTTACAAATTTTACAGGGGTCTATCTATTAACCTCAACAAGTACAAATACAAGTAAGTAGTATCTATTAACCAGTCTCAGTCAGTACTTACCATAGTCTGTTCTACCACTTTGAGGAGAAAAAACTACATCCCAATAGAAAATTTTCTTTTCTTTCAACTTTTATACCAGCTAACTCACCATACTATACTGATGAAACCCCCAAATTCAAACACAGCTAAGAATACACAGCTGGAAACCCCCTGCACTCCTCAAATCCCCTTTCTGTAACAGAATATTTTGCCTGTATTACACCCATGCCATATACAGCAATATCCATCCTTATTTTCGTCCCAACAAACACTAAAAGTGACTATTTTTCTGTGCTGATTTGGGGGGTGTCACTTTTTGACGGATGTTAATTGGTGAAAAATACTATGTTATAAACCATCATAAATCACTTAGAAGATCATTTGCAACAAACCTATATCAATTTTGCAGTCATCTAAGCTTCCCAAGCTGTTTTGGCAACATTTAATTATCCAGTATACACACAGCCCATAGGTAAATAACAGCATATCATACTGAGATCACACTTTTGTTCAGAAAACATGCAAAACATGCACCCATATTCTCCAAATCAGGTCATCATCTAACAACATGTACCAGTAGCTGATATTAAAAAAACAAATTACTAATCCAGTTAATGAGTTTGGGGGAGGGGGTGGATGTGTTAAATCCACAAATGCTGTATACAGAAATGTTACAGTGATTTGTAAAATATTAACCAACACTTAATGAGGTTAACAACCAGACCGGTAAAACACGGCCCCTGTTGCCATGGAGAAGCTTTTACACTATCAGGACATTCCTTTAACTCTATGTAACCTTTAGTCATATGACCTGCCATCTAAAACTCGAGTTCTACTCGGCGTTAGGAAAGGGGAGGGGGGTACACAAGACATATGCCTAGTTTTTGTGTAGAAAGATTGGAAATACTGTGTTTTCGGGAACGAGATGGTTTAAGATCCAGGGGGAATCACGTGTATTCCGTAAATGTCCAAAACACCAAGATTAATTCTAAAAAATGGTGAGGGGGCAAGGAAATGCGAACATTACCTGCAATACGTCGACTTAATGGCACTGCCACGTCACATGATGACGACGACTCTCGTTTGTTGAACAAATATAGTCTGTATACTAATGTTTACCGTAGCCAAGACCATTCGCGGTGTATGTCTATGCGTGCAGAACTCCAGTCAGAAGCTCTGAGGAAAGTGTCTGAAAGACAACAAGAGTTCCACGATCTCATATGTTCGCCAAATCATGTTAACCCTTACGGTTGACGAATTATGCAATTTCAATCATTGAGCCTACATTTGCATGATTACATCAGTTGATCATATGCTCCTCCCAATAACAACCTTTTTTTTAACAAAAAAGGTATATTAGCACTTCCTCATAAATTATGCAAACGATGTCATGATTTGAATATATTATCCTTATTGGTGTTCACCTTCATTCAACTTCCAAATGTGGCCCTTATGAAATTCCCAGCAATTACAACTATGAAATGATAACAATTCCCCATTAATTATACAAATTCGGTCTTTATTTACATAATCTATATCTTCAGATGTTCTTCTCGTTCTCAATTACATGTCACAACTCTTTCATAGTCCCATTATTGAACGAAGCAGATTTACAGAATGTCTTCATTAATTATGCAAATTAGCTACTTATTTGCATAATTGTCCTCTGATTATGTCAAGCATCACTTCAGCTCCCTACATGCCAAAAATCACGACAATACATCGACCGGTTATTGAGTTATTCTTCTTCCTGATTTTTCTACAAACACCCCTGCAGTTCCAGAACAAGCCGCTAGGGAGCCCAAACTTAAGTCACGTGTTCCCTACCCTAAGACCTATCTACTAACGAAAATTCGTGATATTCGCATGTCCAGATCGCGAGGCATCAATACCGGAAGTTCTGCTGCAGTACCAACAAAAGCCGCCAGGGGGTTAAAATTAAATCATTACTAGGTCTCATCAAGATCTACTAACCTACCAAGTTTCATGACACTGCACATTAAGCTTCTTGAGTTCACAGGCAGACAAACAAACAAACAGACTGACAGACAGACACTATTGAAAACATAACCTTCTTGGCGAAGGTAATAAAACGTTAGCAAGGTTGCTATCTTGGTTGCCTGAAAGAAAACTCCCGTATCCATAACAACTTTTAGGGACGTCCCCCATAAAGGACGCTAAATGTGTTTGGAGAGAGCCGCACCCAACGCACGTTCACGAATCCACCGCACTTATTGAAAAGAGTAAGGGTCCCTCTATTTGTGAGTGGTTCAAACATTACAGTCCAGTCTTACGCACTTACGCAGCCTGTACTTACATTCACAATACCTGTGTGTTACGCCGTAAAAGGCAGATTATCGTTAATGAGAAACAAACGAACATTTATTGGAGGTGAACTCTTATCCCATTTTGTAGAAAATAAAAGCTAATAATTCTGCCCTCGCAAGGGCTGGAGGATATGAAGTTAGTTAATTATTTTGGTATATTAAACCACAAATTCAACATATTGCATCCGGTAAAGTTCAAACAGTAATGTATTGTGTGAAATGTCATAAGGATACCACAACGGATTATCTATATATATATGGTCGTGTGACAGGCCTTAACTTACCCTGAGCTGTGTCAGTACAAGACATTCCGGACTTTAATCCTCTTTATTGTTAAATAATTTCTTGATAAGACTATATTTATAATAGAAATACACATGGCTTGGCTTTCTTTAGAAGTAATACAAGTTTTGTCCCTAGGCCCCTTTGCATGTAAATTCAACAATTTCGTTGGCGACATAGAAGATAGCAACTTACGAAAAGGGTTGACAAATTGTATTGATTAATATTGATGTGTTAGTACATACTAGGTTAAATGCTAATCATAACATTATTTGCATAAATTAAGGTTGAGGAAAGCCAATGGTTTGTGAAAGTGTTCTAGAGGTTTAAGGTTTCTGCACTGGCTAATTTGGTGATTTAAATTTGCACAGTTTTACTGGTAATAGAATGAGAGAGAACTGGGTTAGTACTGAATATTGGTAGCTAGCAACATAACGGTACCCCCCCCCCAAAAAAAAAATGGCATATGACATCATCGATTTTCATTGCCCTTTTTATAATTTTTTTTCAAAGAGAAATACAGAACTTTGGCAATTCTTATCAACATAAAACTTGGTTTTTGATTTCATAAACGCCCCTAAAAGTTGTTACGGATACGGAAGTTTTCTTTCACGTAACCAAGATAGTTACCTTGCTAACGTTTTACTGTCAATTAGACACTTTCCTCAGAGCTTCTGACTGGGGTTCTGCACGCATAGACATACACCGCGAATGGTCTTGGCTACGGTAAACATTAGTATACAGACTATATTTGTTCAACAAACGAGAGTCGTCGTCATCATGTGACGTGGCAGTGCCATTAAGTCGACGCATTGCAGGTAATGTTCGCATTTCCTTGCCCCCTCCCCATTTTTTAGAATTAATCTTGGCGTTTTGGATATTTACGGAATACACGTGATTCCCCCTGGATCTTATGTGGTGCACCAGAGGAGGTTAGTTTGAGTAGTTCTTTTCATTCTTGTGAAAAAATGACTTCATCATATTCACATCGTTTTAATTTGTTAGCTTTAATGGTCTGTGTAGAACCTCAATAGTCGTTAATATGTTATACGGAATTTCCATAGTTTCCTGAATACTTCATTGTTGTAGCCAAAGAACCATACGCATTTTTACCCTGGAACCTTTATGCCCTGGAGTGTTTCTTTGTTTAGAGAGAGTAAATCTTTGCAAGAAAGTGAAGCTTGCTTAACTTAACCAGTCCGTATATCGCGACAAAATGTATTTAATTCAACATTAAACCATTTCGTTCCCGAAAACACAGTATTTCCAATCTTTCTACAAAAAACTAGGCATATGTTAATGTCATATGTCTTGTGTACCCCCCTCCCCTTTCCTAACGCCGAGTAGAACTCGAGTTTTAGACGGCAGGTCATATGACTAAAGGTTACATAGAGTTAAAGGAATGTCCTGATAGTGTAAAAGCTTCTCCATGGCAACAGGGGCCGTGTTTTACCGGTCTGGTTGTTAAACTAATTAAGTATTGGTTAATATTTTACAAATTACATTGCTGTAGACAGATTGTGGATTACACGACAAAAGGTAACATGAAATCATATCTATCGGGCAACAGATTAATTAAGCTATCCTGCTCTTGATTGTCAAAGCACAAGGTATAGCAGATTTCTTTTCTTTTAATTACTCTTAAGATGATATTTTACTTTAAATCAATAACCCAATACCGCATTTCATCCTCGTAAGCACTTCTGAAAATATATATTCCGAATGCAACCTACCATAGAAAAACCCGTTATTCAGCCATACTTCAACTCAAAAGCGAGGATGAAATAAGATTATTTGATGACAACTAGTTTTATTTGTGAGATTTTAGGGTTTGACATGCATAGCTTTAAAGAGAGAGAGAGAGAGAGAGACTTTTAAACTCACCAATGATACAAGAAGAGACAAATACCAAGTTGATATCAGTATATTTATTGCTAATTCCGATATATATCAAAGATCATAAATCCAGTTTAAAATCATGACAACACCATGACAAGCACTTACTACCACTTAAAACACAACAAAAATCTAAAATTGCATAGACGTTGTCTCCTGTCTTATAATGTCCCTGTTCAAGGCTCAAGTCAAACACAACGATACGTTAGAAAATACGACTAAATTTTTATCACTCTCTTCCTATACTAGAATAAAACATTTTCACAAAAATCTATCCCATTACGCATTATTTAAAATAAAGAAGTAATATTTCATTACTACACTTACTGAGTTAGGTCCTGCATTGTTTGTTTTTCATAGAATAAAGTCAGTGTTAATCAATTTATTGAATCATTTTAGATTTTACATGTCTACTTGGTTCAAAGGCACTTTAAACAGGCTCCACTTATTACTTCAAGTAAACTCAAACGTAAAAATGGCATTGCTTTCTACTATTAAACTACAGCTGGCCAATGTTTGTCTCCATACGTTGCTCCGTACACCACTCACAAATGATGTCGTTTAACCGGTATAGTTTGGCTAAATAAAAAAAAAAGAAATTGACATTGGAATAAAGTCTTTTTAGAATGCTTACAAAGGAAAATGTACAGTAAATTGTAAAATACAAGTAGGTATTCATTTAACCCTCAACAGTACACCTTCCCGGACTGATTAATCTGTACACCTGGGGTCCGCGCGGACCCCAGAACAGTTTTTTGCTAATTTTTAGAAATTATCAACATGCTACCAGCTCAATTGTTTTGCAAAGTGATGTGGGAACCTCTGTGTCCACATTACATACAAAAATCATACATTTTGAACTTTTTCTATTTTTTGGTGAAGAAAAGAAGACAAGAAGAAATACCCGATTTTTAAACCCATTTCAGACTGAAGGGGCTTTGGAGGCCCAACTTTGATCTCAGATAGCGGCTAAACGGCTTGCGCTAGAAGTATCAAATTTGGAGACCTTTCTTAAAATGTCTCTGGAAAAAAGTTCATATTAGTTTAATACTAGTAAGTTGATGTTTTTTTGTGTTGCCATGGCAACGGGCTATTTTTTTGAAAATAGAAGTAATTTTGGTTTAAACATAAAAATTTTCTGAGTTTTATATTAAATTACACTTCTTTTCCAACTTTAATAACATCTTACATAATTAAATATAAGTTAAATCATTTAATATGCATAGAATATGCTAATTTGATGACGTCATTGGTCAAAATCCAATATGGCGGACTATATTATTAGCTCTGACGTCATATGACGTCATAATTACACCAAAGTTATTAAAATTTAATTCTATTACTACACCATTCTCTGAAAACTTGGTAGACATACGATGAGTGCATAAAAACATATAAAAACGGAAATAAGGTAATGTATAAGAACGCCAGTGTATCCATTATGATCGAAAGCCGGCTGGGGTCCGCGCGGACCCCAAAAGAAAATCAAATATAATTTTTTTTATAAATGGTAGAAACGGAGTTTTCTGCGCTGTATTGAGAGACAACTTTGGGGGTAACAATTACCTAAAATTTCAGAAAAAAATCTTTAGAAACAAAAAAGATATTACAGAATATATAGTGCTGGGGTCCGCGCGGACCCCAGGTGTACTGTTTAGGGTTAAGGAAAACGGTATTGCATCATAACGCCATCGATGAGATAATTAATATATATATCATTATAACTTACGAGAATGTGCACATCAACTTCCTTCATATCCTGAGCGTCTCCAACCGGGTGATTGGACACATAGCACTGGTAAGAGCCACTGTCATCCACTGTCGCCTGGGTGATGTGGAGAATCTGAGCTGACTCTGCTGTATCAAAGTGGAAGCTGTAGGATGCTGCTGTAATGTCCTGCTCGTCACCTTCACCAATTAAATTTAAATAATGTCAGTCATTGGTTTATGATAGTAAATATCATGAGACAACCTCAGTCATATAGACAGGACTTGACAGTATCCACCCAAAGGTAGCCTATAACAAAGAAAATATATTTTGCAATCTGCATATACAATGGATGAGTGAACTTTACCTCCATAGCTTCTTTTCTTCCACCAGATGCGGGAAGGAAGACGGTTCCCTTGTACGTAGCATGCGATGTTAATGTCACTTCCAACGTAAGCGGCATGTGGAGAATCTGGTGTCATTCTTATGATGACAGCGGTCTCTAAACAAACAGTAGCGATATGTTTTAAGCATAATCCTTAACAATACTAAACAATGCAAGCCCCTTTCAGACAAAATGGAATATTGAAAATATTTCAAACAGTTCTAATCACTATAACATGAAATCATGAAATCACATCTACTTACTCAGACAGTCCACCTCAGACGTGCTGCCCTCAGAGGTCGTGTTTGCTCCGTCAGGACAACCTTCGCACTTTACTTGCCCTTTCATTGACTGATAAAACCCAGTCGGGCACAAAGTGCAATTTGGACCAAGGCCAGTGGTTGAGAATGAGCCCTCATTGCAAGGATCTATAAACATTTAAAAGCTTTAAATGCATTGATAAACGTTAGACATCAAGCTGATGACAGGTTCAAACTACTGATTAGATTACTCCCGGGCGTTTCGAGTGACATCTTCAACATCACTCTTCTTTAGCATCATTGAATGAACAGAGGGAAGAAGTAATCACTAATGACAGCTGTTTTTCTTTTCAAATCCATGTGTTGCTTTCCCGTGTAACTGCGATAATTGTAACGACGACTTCAAATTTCTTTTTACAATTTTTTTGTTTGTAAAAATCGTAGCTATAGCAGTTGGCAGGAATTAGTATGATATGAAAGATTGATTATAACTTTAACTTTAAAAAATCATTCGAGAGGACCTGTGCATGACTGGCCGCCATATACCAGCACGTGAAGCCTGCGGATAATTGATTGATTGATTGACGTATCTTGAAAATACTTACTTTGGCAATCGTCTGCAGTAGTTGCCCCAGTTTCGGCAGTTGTTGTATTATCTGCGCAACGGTTACACACTGTTTGTCCCTCGGTATCTTGATAATAGCCAACATCACATTTGACACAATTTCCACCGTCTTCTTTCATGCCGAGAGGACAGTTCGCTGTGTGACAGGAAAATTTCAGCCATATAAGGCAAAAATATATTGCTTTAGTCTTAAAAGAAAAGTTAACAAGAAAATCAGTTTACATACACATACATACATATACATATATTGTAATTAGTTTCTAAAGCATATATGACAATCTTGTTTGTTGGTCTCGTGGGGTATGTATCCGAAATGCGACAAAGTCTCGTAGCTCGAAATAAACTACCGCTTACACATACCGCAGTGTAGTTCTGCGCCTTGTAGCCTTTCAATGGTTCCAGATGGACAAGGGGCATCCGCGGTCTTTAACACATGACCTGTAAATTAGAGAGAATATAGGAAATACCTACATTAAAGGTTTTCATTTAGTAGACGTTTTTGTATACATCGTAAGGCAGACTTTATTTTCCATGTAACTCTTAGACCTCCCCCCCGAAATTGAACGGAAAAGAATCTATTGTGGGTGTGTTTTTAGTGATTTATTGCATGAAAAATGCACATGTTTACCTACCCACACAATCTGGTATGTATCTCGACGGGTTCCATTCAGCCTGAGCCCCACAGACATAGGTCATGGCGGGGTCCTCAATAAAAATCAGTCCAGCGTTGCATGTAGGCTGGCAGAACAAACCATACAACCAAGACATACAGTTGGCGTTCCCGTTGCGCGGGCCGATGGGGTCTCCACATGTTTTTGCTAGAAAGGAAAACCGGCTATTTCGTTATTCGGTTTGTAAGCATCCGGGGTAACACAAATAAGTAAGGGATTCTCCATTAAGGCTTGCTATGATGGCAAAATCAAGACATAGAAATTCTGTAGTATCCTATCAAAGACTTGCAACTGACAGATGAAACTAAAAAAAAGCTAACGCCTATTAAGTATATAGCATTGAACCAGAACCAGTAGATGTTCCCATCAGATTTGTGTCTATTAGTGTGGTGTGGAATTTTTATAATCAATATGTACAAGTTCTATGGAAAGTAATATATAATCTACATCAGACTTAGCCAATTCATAATTCCTTTACGTTACTTACGCTGAATATGGAGAACAAAACTACAGTCCGCAGAATTACCGGCAGCGTCCCAAGCTGTGTACCTTACATTGTACAGGCCCCACGTCAGGGTTCCACCAGGTTGCTGCAAACACGTATATCAAACATGTAGTAAATATTTACGCTTGATGCCAGGGATTTTTAATATAAAGTTCTTGGGGATAAAACGATTTTTGTATCTATTACATGCGATTGGGTTCTCTTTCTTACTTCAGAAATCATTTGGTCTCTTGTTAATTTTTAAACTTTTGAAACGATATAAGTCTTACCAGAGCTTTCCATATATCTGAAATCCCGACGTTATCGTGGAACTGCGGTTCATCCCAAATAACTGAGGTGACGTAACGTTGCTCCGTAAATATCTCGATAACGTCTGCTGGACAGCCACTGACGACAGGTGCTTGTTTGTCTGGAACAGTTAAATGTATTTGTTTATTTCTTTATTATTATACAACATCCATTTATTGCAAGATTAGACAAAATTTATGTTATTAGCGTTATTAACGTTATTAGCAATTTCTAGCAGTCAGCCAAAAAATAAAATCATTTTCATTTTAGCATAGCCAACTAGACAAATATTTATGGGTTCACCACACCACGAAGTGGTGGTGAACCCATATTGCTTTTTCTGATGTTTCTTCTTCTTCTCCTCCTTCTCCTCCTGCCATTTTTTAAATGGATTCAGCTTCTTCATTTTAGGGCCTAAGGTCCTGAAATTTGGTATGGAGGTACAGTGGGCAAATACCCCTAGGCGTTTTTTAAATTTTTGTGATACAGGCTTTTAGAATGGTTTTATTTGAGTTTTTTGGCTGTGTTATAGCAAATGTATTACTGTGTTAGTGTGCCGTGTTTACCACGTCTGGGCATGAGTCATCACAATGGAATGCAGGGCATCAACCAATAGGCATGCAGCTTTCCTCTATACTTCTTGCTGATTGGCTGTTGGGATTTAACTTGATTAACACCTGCACAGAGCATTTCCACCTGCACAGAGCATTTCTTGCTGATTGGCTGTTGGGATTTAACTTGATTAACACCTGCACAGAGCATTTCCATACTGACAGTATGTCTTTATTCAAGTGTTTTGGTAGGTATTTCAAGCTTTTCTGCTCCAGCATTGGAATGCGGGGCATGAACGTTTTTTTATTTATTTTGAAAATCAACAGTGTGCATTATGCAATTAAAAATCCTAACCAATAAAGTAGGGAATAGCTATCCAACTGTTGTTTTAGTTGTATGTTACTTCATATTATAGTTATATCAATGTAAATCATTGTTTTCCCTTGTGTTTCTCATTCTTTCCCTGCCATGTCGTAAAATGTGGTGAACCCATCGCTGTATTTGCTCCAAAGCAAATATTGGCCTTTCTAGTTGTTAGAAGGTTACCTAGCACATCCACTTGAACTGTACAAGTAGAGGAAAGAGTTCCATCCCCGTTGTCAGCTACAAATGCAACAACTGTGCGTCCGGCGGGAAATACTGCAGATCCGTCGACTGAAAGTGTGATGTTAGCTGTCAGTCTTGAACCGTCAGTTGTAGGGGTAGGAATGTTCACTGTCGTGGAGTTTGTGTCGAGTGGTAAATCAACCGTCACTCTGCCAGGGCAGGAGATGTACGGTGCAGTTTGATCTGTGGGCATGAAAAAAAAAGCATCGTAAACATTAATGTAATAGCAAATGACGAGTAGGGACACATTTAAGGTGTCATAGAATGGAAACTACAGGTACACATTATAAATTCCACTATAATCTCAAAAGTATACATTTGAGAAATAGATTTCCTCATAGCTAACTATAGATGATCTTATAGTACTAGAATTATAGTGCCAAATAGTACTCTATAACATTATTTCAAATGCTAAGCGTGGAAGCATACCTTGAACACATGTCGGTTGAGCAAACGACCATTCCTTTAGTGCCGTGCATTCTAGGATCTGACTTCCGTTTAGAGTATAGCCAGGGTCACATATGAATATGCATCCTGGACCACCGTATTCTGGTTGACCATTGTAGCAGGTCTCCGGAATGACATCGCCGTTGGTGGGCCTTAACAGAGGGCTACATCGCACGGCTAAATGAATAAATGAATGAATGGATGAATGAATGGATGGATGGATGAATGGATGAATGGATGAATGAATGGATGAATGTCTTTATTTCAGGTAGTTCACCCATAGAAAACAACGGTACAAACATAGAAACACAAAGTATACATACAGCATCTTATATACATTTTTTCTGTAGAATTTCTGTACTGACAATCTGACCTTAGAAAACATTGTTTTATGCTGTTGTTGGTGTTGTTTAGCCTGTTCATAAGCTGAATAAGGCAGTGCAGACAAGTTTAGATATCCAATGATTCATCATCCAATGATTGAAAACGTATGAAATGGTATGAGGTGTACTAAAATACATCGACCCTAGTTATTTCAGAGATACAGACCCTTTTGGACATCGGCTGCTTAGTGTAGTGCATTTACATCATGATCAGGAATATGTTTCAAATTGATATTCTATCTCAATAATCAAATTACGTTTAAAACGTGGAGACGTAGAGATAGACCTATTTTCAATGGAATTGTGCCAAAGCGCAACAAAGAAATAATGAAATTCCCTATTCTCTGAGGGTTTTTTTCTATCAAAGAACAAATCCTATAAGCCACTTACCTCTACATATTGGTTGGGAGTTGTCAGTCCAATTTCCACCAAGCTGACATACACGATTGCTTTCTCCTTCAAGTTCATATCCAGATGAACACTGGTACGAGCATGTTGTGTTTACCGGTAGCCAAGCGGATGCTTCACATACAGACTGTGGCATTAACATGCCGTTATGTACCGAAGGAAGCATCGGACACTGCGAGGCTACAACAGGAAAAACATTGAGTGATCAAAATGTATGTTTTCAGTTACATATGGGTAAGGTAAACATCATATGAACTTCAGCTTTAAACATTTTATAGATTTTGGAAAGGAGATAATTTTGTAGTCGTTATACCTGTACACGTGTGTTGGTCAGCCGGATCCAAGACAAACCCATTATAGCAGCCACACTCGTAGCTTCCAAGCGTATTGATGCATGTCTGTTGACACCCTGCATTATTTGTTTGGCACTCGTCTACATCTATAAGACAAAAATTGTCAATATATGGACAATATATTTACCCCCCTTTTTGTCTATTTATTTTCCTGAGGTAGTGCATGAAATGTACGTTTTAATACATGATACGTTTGTATAAGAATGTGTTACGTTTGGCATATATACCGCGGGAAACTTTAGAAAAATATACTTTTTAATGAAATTTAAACCCAAGTTTGAGAAGAATAACATACATAGCGTGTACTATAAGCTTTTATATTTGGCATAATGCTTTAGGCAGTGCTGTTGTTAAGTAGCAATGTATAATTATAGAAATGTTTATATCCGTAATGGCTAAAGTGCAACAACTTGTCTCACAACCCTTATCAGCGAGCATACATGTAACTAAATATATTATTCTTCTGTAACCAAATTGTTTTATATCCGTTAATTAGGAATAGAACAGCTAGAAAACATGACATACTGTACTTTGGGCGTAAACACAGATCAACGTACATCGATCAGAATGGTTAGGCACCAGAGTGTACATATAATCCTTACTTATTTTTATGTTCCATATAGATTACACGTTGCTGAAGATTGGAAACAAAAAAAAATCCTTACCAAAACAGCGGAAACCATCAGGTGCTAGCTGATATCCTGGTGCGCAGAGGCACTGGTAACTCCCCTGTTCGTTACGGCACTCATGACTGCACCCACCATTATTCGTTTCGCACTCATTAATATCTGTGGTGGCAAAGTTATTAATATCATTTCATTAAAAAAATGAGACATACTCTTTTGAGTCTGACTGACAGTACCTGCTTTTTAGTTGTAGTACACAACGCCACTATATTTTACTCCACATTGCATCTGTGCGGGTATATGGAGGAATATAAAAATAGTCTTTAGGCTCATATTCGCCTACTGCACCTAAAGCAAGGAAGGCAGGTATCGAGGATGATATATTACCACCTTAATTATGTATGTGACACAACTTTCTGCCCATGTCCTAAATTACAGTTTAAATACGTGAAAAGAAGTGTGGATCTCTCTATCCCAATACTTCTAGTAGGGCAGCGCGTTTGATACTACGAGCGGCTATAGCTCATCTCGGGAAGGAGAACATTCTTCTGAGGGAGTTGTAGCCGGTCGTAGAAATAAACTCGCTACCCTGCAAGAAGTCTGCACAGTAGGCTAATATTTCTCACCATTGTTACACGAATCCCCATCCCATCCTGCCGCGCATCCATGAATACAACGGCCATTAATGGGATGGCAGTGTGTGTCAACACAGTGGCACTCGTTATCACATGACAAACCCCAAAATCCTACGACGCGGCATTCTGAAAACAATATGAATGGTTTTAAAGGCATGACAACTATGTGTATGAGGTCTCAAAGCAATGATTTAATCATATCTCTCATTATTGTACCTATCATTAAGGTCTTGACGAAAAGTATCACTTTTACATACTTTTTATTTCAAAGTAGTCGAAATCGCCGTTGTCCACTATGTTTTGTCCACTTGAATCGTAAGGGCTGAGGTAGCATCGGTGTTTCCGTCCATTATCCGTGTTCGTGACTCCATACGTGAACGACAGGCAGATGAAGTCATCAACATGGAGGCAGCTCTCTTCACATTGTGCCTCCGTGTAGGAAGTGTAATAATGGCCGGAGAAAAGACTCGGGGCTTTTTTAAAACTCTGAGTAAATTTCCTTTGGTCTGTTGTAGCTGTTAACAAATACAAGAATACAAGGCGTTTCATTTCCGTAATCAATCAATTACAACAAATAACATAACATTTAAATAAAATGTAGTAGATTGCCATATAGACCACTCAAAGATCTAAAAAAATCTATGATTAGCAGAACAGGGCTTAACGGACAGAAGTTCCTTCTGTGTTAAAAAAAAAGACTTTTAAGTAAGTTAGCGAGGAAGAAATGTGTAGCGATTTTGTATTTTAAGAGCGTTAGCAGTTGGTAGGCAATATTTTTCATTTGACGTCATGAATTGGCAAAGACCCACACTGCGATTACTAAAGGATCCCTTACATACAATTATTATGGTGTATGGAAACGATACGATTTGTGTTCTAAAGTGATTTTTTTTAATTATTATTAACTGTTACTGTTACACGCAGCTACAAACACAGAAGAGATTTAATGTAATAGTATTGATTTTGGACTGTAGGCAAATGTAATTTTGATTTTGTCTGTATCATTTCTCTTACTATTGTTTACATTATCATTACTTTGCGCTTTATGTTTTTTTTTGTAAACGTCATGAGCATTTAAACTTACTAGTCCGTTCATAGAAAGTAAAAAGGTCCACATGGTGATCATTTTCTAGTGGCGTTGTGTGGCTATTTTCCTTGCTTAAGTGACATGTCTTTTTGCCAGGTTCCCAGTCAAAGGATCGGCAATAGAAATCTGCTTCCTCCATGCATTCCGTAGCACAGTCTTCAGGCACTGCAATTTTCTGAACAACCCTATCGTCGTGGTATCGGATATACGTGTGAGGCGTATGATTAAACCGGCTGATAGAGTCTGGAAAGATAAATATACTAATATTAAAAAAATGAATGCTTTGACAAAAATATCAAAATAGAATATATTACAAGTATTTATTAAAGCACAATGGAACGGATATGATAGATGCATGAGTCTGCTCCGAAGAGTAGAATTGACTCAACACAGGTTTAAAAAACTTTAAGTTTGGTAGATTTTGATATTGGAGCTTCCTCTCTTTTGTTGGGGCATTAGAAGCCCCACCACCACCCCACCCCAAGCTTTCTCAATACTACGTTTCACATCATGGACCTTGTGAACATAGCTGTCAAGGTAATTAAAGTCATCAACTTGCTCCATAATATAGCCATCACTAGACAGCAAGGTCTAAGGCCTTGTTGGAGAGTTGAGGTGCATAAACTTAGTCTTAAGTGCATTTAAATTAAGTCCAATATCCTGTGTGGCATGCTCTACCCTGTACAGAAACTCTTGAGCAGCTTTGATAGTGTCTTCTATGAGACAGATATTGTCAGCAAAGTCAAGGTCAGGTAGAACCACTGCTGGGTGACGCGAGCTCTGTCTTCCCTTTAAGGTAATGGCGTCATCAGTCCTTGCTGCTTTACGCAAGGCATTGTCTAATGCAAGAATGAAAAGAAACGGTGCAAAGGGGTCACCCTGCAAGACACCTGACGTTAAAGGTGTCTGTTTCTCCCTCGGGTGTGAGCACAGTAGCCGTACTGTTAACATACATAAAACCAATCGCATTGACAACCGGCAAAGGCACACCACATGCCTGTAGGGTCTTGAACTTATGTCACGACTGATCGAATCAAACGTTTCCATGAAATCGATGACGATAAGGACAGATTTCTTCTTGTGGTTCCGAACTTCCTCAACGATTCGGCTGAAAGTGAGAGCCTAGCAGAGGTAGATCACGTATACGTAGGCCTGAAACCGTTCTGGTTTGGGCGCAAGAGTTTGTCAATCACAGGGCGGAGTCTGTTGAGCCGATTGTACAATTCAGCAGCCACTTGGGTCAGAGAAGTGCCATTGTAGCCAAACTTCACAAGGAGAAAATTCAGAAAGGTGTACTTACCCCCACAGGAAGTAGAGTCCGGCATGAGGAAGTGGCCTTGAGAACACGAGCAAAAGAAGGATCCTTCGTTATTCGTGCACCTTTCCTCACATGGTCCGTGCCCATCGTTTGGCGTACATTCATCGATATCTGTTAATAGATAATGACATTTGATTTGCCATGTTTTTTATTCGCACGCTTGCGTCAACGTTGGAGTCTCACAGGATGTTATTCATATAATAAAATCAACCTGGCCTAATTGACATTCAAAAAACGGTTCACAAAAATTATATCAACAACAAAAGATGAAATATTTAAGAAGAATTTACAAAATGAACTTTTGACAGTTTGTAAACGTTTTGATTATATACAATAACATTTTGTTTAGATTTAAGCCACCAAACTAGGTTTTAAACACTGAATTCTCGAATAGGCAGTCTGATTTTTGATGATTTGGTTGCACTCAAATACATGAGAAGGATACATATCTGGGTAAAAAAAATTGTGTGCATTTTCGTCATTTGAAAAAAAAATATACCTGTCGGTTGCAAATGTGTTTTGGTGCCATGTAGTATCTTATGTTCAAGTCGATTTTCTTATAAGATGAAACAAAACAAGTTATTGTTAGATTTGTATTTCATGTGATTGTGCTTTCATGAGCTAAATATTTTGTTTCAAATTTACATTTTTCAGGTATGGCTAATACCTTTAGCATTCTTAACCCTCAACAGTACACCTTCCCGGACTGATTAATCTGTACACCTGGGGTCCGCGCGGACCCCAGAACAGTTTTTTGCTAATTTTTAGAAATTATCAACATGCTACCAGCTCAATTGTTTTGCAAACTGATGTGGGAACCTCTGTGTCCACATTGCATACAAAAATCATACATTTTGAACTTTTTCTATTTTTTTGTGAAGAAAAGAAGACAAGAAGAAATACCCGATTTTTAAACCCATTTCAGACTGAAGGGGCTTTTGAGGCCCAACTTTGATCTCAGATAGCGGCTAAACGGCTTGCGATAGAAGTATCAAATTTGGAGACCTTTCCTAAAATGTCTCTGGGAAAAAGTTCATATTAGTTTAATACTAGTAAGTTGATGTTTTTTTGTGTTGCCATGGCAACGGGTTTCTAGCAGGCAGTTTTTTTGAAAATAGAAGTAATTTTGGTTTAAACATAACAATTTTCTGAGTTTTATAATAAATTACACTTCTTTTCCAACATTAATAACATCTTACATAATTAAATATAAGTTACATCATTTAAAATGCATAGAATATGCTAATTTGATGACGTCATTGGTCAAAATCCAATATGGCGGACTATATTATTAGCTCTGATGTCATATGACGTCATAATTGCACCAAAGTTATTAAAATTTAATTCTATTACTACACCATTCTCTGGAAACTTGGTAGACATACGATGAGTGCATAAAAACATTTAAAAACGGAAATAAGGTAAAGTATAAGAACGCCAGTGTATCCATTATGATCGAAAGCCGGCTGGGGTCCGCGCGGACCCCAAAAGAAAATCAGATATAATTTTTTTTATAAATGGTAGAAACGGATTTTTCTGCACTGTATTGAGAGACAACTTTGTGGGTGACAATTACCTAAAATTTCAGAAAAAAATCTTTAGAAACAAAAAAGATATTACAGAATATATAGTGCTGGGGTCCGCGCGGACCCCAGGTGTACTGTTTAGGGTTAAATACATAAATAAAAGTAAGGTTGGTCCTGATATATCTCAGAGCAAATATCTATCACCGGTAAATATTTTTGATAAATTTGCCATTCAACCAACGATAAAAAGATATTTACACCGAAACATTTTTTACTGTAATCCACAGTGACTATAACAGAGGTACATCGTTACTAACGTTTCGAACGTACCGTTTGTTTAATAATATATATAAGGAGAAGAGTACCTATCGGTTAACAACATACAACACAGGGTAGCTGCAACTAAACTCCGAGTAATATCTTAGTTAGATGGTTTATATAACTTAATCCTTAAAATATTTTGAGGTTGTATGAATATATTAGGAGGAGGTTATTGTCTTACCTGTTTTTTTGTGCGTTTTGTACCAAACAAATGTGTGGTCTATTTACCAGAGCAGGTTGATGAGTCTTGATTTAGAGTGTAGCCCTCATTACAACTGCACCGGTAAGACCCTGGGATATTCTCACAGCGTTGGGCGCAAGGTCTGTTTGAACCACTGCTCATAGATGCGCATTCATCGACATCTGAAAATCAAATAAACCTGGTAATACAGGAGTTAAGTAAGTCTATGCATAGCATGTGAAAACAGGCAGAGACCGGAAAGTCTTGACTAGCCAACCCGGCTCTACCTTGTACTTTTGCAAATGTTGGAAACTATTGAAAGGCATATTGTTTAAACTATTCCGCTGTTATTGTCTTCGTCAGAAAGACCATGGGATTGTCTCGCCGCATTGCGTGCGACTGCGTATTTAGCGATATAAATCAGGCAGACATGATTGGACGTTTTTTTTTTGGCAGACAGATTACCGTTGTTGAGGCCGAAGTCAAGTCAAAGTTTCGGCTTCGTGGTTCTGTACGTCACCTAAGTGCACCTTTTGTATTTGTGGCTTGTTAGCAAAATAACTCGAGTATATGTAAATTGATGTTTATAATTTGTAGTAGGCAGGTTACTATTTTTGAGACCAAGGTTAGGTTCGTTAATGGGCTTCGTGGGGGTTCCGTTGTCACAGCAGTGGACCTTTTGTGTTTAGAAATAATGAACTTCCTCCACCAACTCTTGCTTGGAGACAGCCGACAGCTGAATATAGCCGGGGAACCCCATAATGGACTGGGATCAAATGGCGTTATATTGAGGGATTGTACTGTAACTTCAGCAGGGGGAGATATGTTGGACATGTGTCAGATTATTTTCTACAGCCACACCAAATAATTGCAATGGATGACGTCCACCGGAGACCTTAAATTTACTGTGAAAGCGCGATAAAAACATGAATGGCCAAAAAACGAGATGCCTAGAATTTGGAAAATACGTACTTTAGAAATACAAATGTTATGACACATATTGAATAAAAGAACGCAGTGTAACAAGTCTTCTATTCGTCATTAAGATAAATTAACACAACAGCAGTAGTCGTCCTGTTCTAATTCTTTCCTTTATCACACCTTCTTATATTATATTTTGCGACACTGTCGTGACACTTTCATCATAATATAGTAAGAAGAATTTCTTGTAAGTTTATTTTTCCAGTAACAGTCCAAAATCAAATAACGTAGGGGCTAACACAGGTGACGGCGCGTCTGTTAAATTTGTGGCGAACCCTTTCAGGGTGTTCGGTAGCATAAAAATGAGTACAGAGATTCTTTTGTACTTTAGACCAAATTGATTATTAAAAAGGGTAAAGAATACACATGCTCATTTCTCTAGAACAATGTACCTCTGACGAAGACATGATATTTCCGACCTCTAGTTTAATTCTTAAGTTTTAGGACGCCCTCGGAGACCCCCCCCCCCCCAAGACCAAAGACCCTCCTCCATATTCGATGAAGGCAGATTTTTTTCTTATCTGTCTGACTTTTTTCTCCTTCCCGCGGTATTTTAAATGAACACTTTTAACTTTGCTACTGATTCAAAAGGAACTGTCGTATAATTGGGACACACAACTCGTCAATAGAGAGGGAATCTGGCAATGGAAAAGACCCACTATTAAAAAAATAGGTTCATCAGTTAGTAGGAAGTTGTGAATCATTACGACTCTACAGCACTAGGGTTGGAGCCCCTACTACTCGGTATTATCTACCAGGATACTAGAGTTCTAACTTAAACTGACCGATGCCACTTCACTTTCAAAGTCTCAACGAAGAGGAACGGGGAAGCCGAAAATAACAAGAGAGGAGATTAATTATTTAGAAATCTTTACATCTTTCCCAACTTTTTGCTATTGGCATACCATGATTTGTTTTATTTCTAGAGGTTATTTCATTTTAAGGGGCCCAAAAGAGTGCTCCTCAATGCTGTTCAGAGGCACTTTGAATTACTGCAGTATTTTCCTTAATGTAATTTCTGAGTTCATGCTCCTATACCTGGTAGAGATCGTCCTTCATTTTCTTTATCTCGGCTCCGTCTATTTGTTCTAATGCTTTCCGTTTTTACCTCCATGAAATATGTCATGGAGGTTATATTTTCAGTTGTGTTTAACTGTCCGTCTGTCTGTCCGTCTGTGGTCAGCAAGATAACTTAAAAACGGCTGGGTGGATTGGTTTCATACTTGGTGGGTTGGTAGGGTGTGGTAAAAACTGCAAATGATGAGGGTTTTAAGCCCCATAGTGGCTTTCCTTGGTACCGCAGCACAACTTCCGGTTTTGATATCTCGAGATCTGTACATGCTAGGGTCATGAATTTTGGACGGTAGGTAGCTCTTGTCCTCGGAAAAAAGCCACGTGAGCTTGGGCCCCTACCAGTTTGTACTGATTTTTGGTATGTAGGTAGCTTTAAAGATGCTTGACATAATTAAAATACAATTATGCAAATCAGGATCTGATTTTCATAGTAAATGAGGAAATTCTATTAATCTGCTGTATTTCATATTGAGGCTATGAAACATTTTAGATATATGTAGTTGAGAACGACAAGATCATTGGCAGATGCTGATTATGTGAATGAAGACCTAATTTGCATAAAAAAATGAAAAATTGGTACAATTTTATTGTGGTAACTGCTGGGAATTAAACACTTACCATAATTGGAAGTTCAGTGAAGGTGAACATCATTGAACATAATTAATTCAAAGCAGGACCTTATTTGCATAATTTATCAGGAAACGCCAGAACAGCCTTCTTTCTTAAGATAACAATGTCATTGGGTCGAAAATATGATCAACTGATATTATATATGCAAATGTGCTCTTATAATTTTCATATTTGCAGTGAAAATGTATAATTAGTCAGCTTGCACGGCAAACATGAGTTGGCAAAGGTATGTCAGAGGTCGTGCTTGCATGCATGTATAACCACCAATCATGCGTTTTCCATGTTAAATGGTAAGGATTTTACCACTGTGTTGCATGTTACTAGGTAGGAGCTATGTGATTAATTTGTATAAAAATCCTCCAAATGAGGAGGGTTGTAAATATAAGCCATTTACAGGTAATTATTACCATGCATAAGATTTACGAAAGCACTAAACATGTCATGGAGGTATGAGATCGCCGAACTCTAGTTTAGAAATGTTCTTATTATTTGCCCCAGGGACATGCTTCCTTACTTTCTGCTTGATGTTTATGAATGTATTTGCTGACGCTTCGTGTGCTCTTATGACATTTGTATAAATTGTGTTTGCATTTTTAATCTTCTCGGGTTCATATAGCTCGTCAAACCTTCTCTTGGCCTTATTTGTATATGCTACATTTACATTAGTGTCACTTAGAAGGTTTGCCCAATCGTATCTGGTACCTATCTGAGATTGTTGTTGTTTGCTATTAAACTCAGTCTTAATTTAGCTATTACTAGCCTATAGTCTGATTTGGTGTTCATAAAGCTAAGATATGCTTAGCAGTTTAGTGCGCTATTCCTCCGTTTTTATTGATTAAACATGGTCAATCCTGACACGCTCCCCACTGGGATATGTGAAATTGTTCCTATTTCCTTAGTGTAATTAACGGTAAGGTCTAACACAGTGCATTAGTTTATGAACTCCAGGAGATGTTTTCGGCCTCTATTGCAATAATGTTTTTTTTAATGATAGCTAGATCATTTTGCATTAGGTCGTTCAATCTTTGCATTTGAATCTGCTCCAAGAATGCGTACGTTATGTTAAGCCTTTAAGCAACGGTCACAACTCGCCGTACGTGCTTCTGCGTGCTGTCTACCACGGTGGTAAAATCTGGGCTAAAAAAGTTCCCACATGTCATAGAACCCGAACTGTGTTCGATCGTGTTCGATCTGGGGAATTCGAATCGAACCCGCGTTCTATTTCGGGGTCACCTGCGGTCATTTACTATAAAGCGGCAAAACAAGCCTTTCTACCTCCGTGCATTGCAACAGATAAAAAACAACACTTTTCTATAGATACAAACAGTTTCCTGGACAGTACATGTCCGCTATTATTTTTGGTGGACATGTAACTTGTAGCGAAGCTACTGTCGTATCCTTGAGTGACCTTGAATACTGTAATGATTCTTTACGCCAGTATGAATAACACAATGCACACTTTCTTGCGATATGACATGTCTCCCAAACTCGTTCAAACCTGGAAACATGGAGAGTCAAACATACCCCATTCACGGCTCAAAATGACCGTAACGGTTGTCCCGAAAATCGTGTTTTAGGGATTTTTAGAAAAATGGCCTCAATTTTGAATTATGGGTAATTTAGTGAGAAAAATGTCAAAAAATGCCATTTTTTCACCAATATGTCGACAAAAACTACACTTAAAATCAGAAATTAAAAAATCCCTAAAACACGATTTTTTGTCTTATTCCTAGTCTGCGAAAAATACAAAAATCGGGGATCTGGGGTAATATCTGTAGCCAGGTTTGAACGATGTTTGCCTAAAAACGCAACATGACTTGTGCTCGGAAACCCGAAAATAATCGTCTTTCTGAGCGAAATTTTTAAAAATCATTGATTTAACATAAAAAGCTAACATTTAAAGGATGTTAAGACGATAATTTCATTTTAATTTGACGAAATTTACCCCTAAATATTATTTGTGTATTTTCAAATATTTTACGGGTAGTCCAAAACAGGCCAAATTAGCGTCTTGTAACCCGATACCTTTTAGAACGCGCATAGCAATGGGAAAGAATGCCGTAGTGACAGACCGCCGTGTACATGCAAAAACGTGGGCAAACGTAGGGCATCCGTGCGTGGTGAGTTCCGCCTCCGTACGGAATCCTACGGATTTGGGAGCTCGCAGACACGCCGTAGAACTTTAAGTGCATGTAAAACTTTTTCTACGTGTGGTCTGCGGATTCACCACCCGTGCGTGCTAGTGCGAGCGACGTGCGTGCCCCGTACGTACCGTGCGGAAGAAGTACCGTGCGCTGGTAGGTTTAAAAAGGGCAGTGCAATGGATAATGAGTAATTGTTTCGTATGGACACCTGCAGTTACAGGCTGGACTTGTAACAAGACCCCAAGTATAAAGTCTGATTTAAGTTGCGGGTACCGAGATGAAGTCGGGTAATGAGAATACAGGAAGAACGAGAACCAAATGTATAATGGTTTAGCTTAACAGGATGTACCCATTTAAAAAGGTGCGATCGAAATTTTCGAAACGGAAGAGTACGAATTTCTAAGTTTTTTCCATCCAGTAATGGAATAAGGTATGAAAGACGTTCCAAAACAATTGGCAGAAAATTTAATGGTTCTCAGATTGCAATTCTTTGGGCTTGTATCCAATTCCCATATCAAATTGCAGGGGTTTTAGTTTTAATATTTGGCCAAAGGACACAAATATGTACTTTTTTGTTCTTTGGCTCAAAAATGAAAAAAAATTGAATCCATTTCACGAAATTTAAAGTAAAGAAGAAGGAAAAACAAGGGAAAACAATACATTTCTCCCATACTATACTTTACTATACTATACTATACTATACTTTACTATAGTGTAATTACATTTCAGGTAGGTACAGATTTTATTGTCAATTGACCATTGCATATGGCTTGAATTCGTAGTTGCTGACCATATAATAAAATATGTCCATCTCTTATACTGTACGTACCTATGTACTGGACGTAAATAAAGGGTTGTACAAGCAGAGCGGGTTCTCTGCCAAAGACGTTTAACTTACATCATTACTGATTTACGATAATTTAAGGAAAAGTATCAAACATCAGGGTTATTGATTACCAAATGTTACACGGCATAAAATTTTACGTAAAAGACGCATATTCAGTCTTGACATCTTTTTCATCAAACCCCCCCTAAAAGCTAAATAGACTTACATTCCAACTATTTCTACCTTTAGTGGTGGTTATATTCAAGAGCTTCCCTTTTCTAGTAATAAGACCAAAACAAGGTCTTAATAAAAAAATAATATAGATTTAACATATAGTTAACCTTTTTTTAAATTTTGCACTGAAGAGACGTCAGGTCAACAAAACAATGACAAAGTGACAGGGGCAATATTTCAGAAAAACAACGTTTGCCTCCCCTCCCTTGTAATACTTCGATTAGGTTAACTTTACAGACAACGACTCAATAGTAATAAAACTGATACTTACCATCCTGGCAATATTGCCCTTCCCAAAAGTCCGTGCACTCGCAATGGGAGGTGATCGCTGGCGTATTATTTTGGGCAAAAGCTGAGCCTGTTATGTTGTATGTAACACACGTCCCACCATGTTGGCATGTGTGCCCATGTGCATCACATCCTAAAAGCAAGATAGAACAATTTGGGAGAAAGCTAACCAATTCTAAATAAAGTTACTCTGTCTAAGGAGCATAAGTAACTAATTTCTGACTTAAACATAAATGAATGTATCTATGTAGACCTACTTACGGCTAGCATTTTGGAAGAAAAATCTGATGAAAAACAATTATTACAGTCGGTAGACTTAACTAACAATATGTTTATTTACATCCTTTAATCATTTTGCTGCAATAAATATGACAACTAAGGATCATTTACATGTTAAAACTACTTCCTTTAGATTTGTTTATTTATTTATTTATTACATTTTAAGACAACTAGCCTTCCCCTACAGCTATAATCTGCTGATTTCCAGGGGGAACCAGTGAACGAAAAAGCGACACAACATAACCAACAAAAAAAATAACATAACGTATCATTAGTACACACATTAGTAACAAGAAGACAAAGTGGTATATCTAACAAAATGAGATAACAGCAAAATATGTAAAACAAGTAGTCAAAGATATGATGGCAAATGCATAATACATCAACTTTTTTCTTGTTAGGTCTTGTTAGGTTAGCAATGATAAAGCATTCATTTAGTCTGCAAAAAGTAAAGTCATTGTGTTGAAATGTCCGTTCTATCAACCAGCGCGTACTAAATATTTGTTTGTCTACGAAAAAAAACATGTGTTTTCCAACTTCGCAGTATACACGTCTGCCAGTCTTGACCAAGGGGCAAGCCTAGAAGCTAAAATTGTGTCCAGTTACTATATTTTTCAGTAACGGGTTTGGCGTTATTCATGGTCCACGGTGGTGTGACGATATTTCTTTGTTTCATTGTATATAGAACGCCACGTATACGAAAGAAACGGCTACATTACTCTTAAGGTTTAACGTGATGCATAACACATTTTGGCGAGGCGTTAGACAGATAAATATGTTTGAATTGTTGCACGAAGTATGGCAATGGCCGTACCACAAGTTTTTAAGAAGGGGACGTGTGTTAGATAGCCAGTTACACTTTAAGAGAGTTTAAGATTGAGGTTAGTCTGGATCTTAAATCGTATTATCAATGTAATTTAAAATCCGTAAATATGACTAGAATTCAGCAGTGGAGGAAATATTACTGCGAAATGATACATCAGAATAGCGTCAAAAGTTTCATTTACCCCTCCCTACTGCACCGTTGTTTAAAAAGCTCAAAATACTGACCATAAATGACATAAATAGACTACAAACCAGTATTTTAATGTACAAGAAAATAGAATGAATAAATGTCCTTGCCTTCCTGAAATCTTCCACGACACCTACACCTTCTTACTGAACTCAGATATCCAGAACCACTTCACACGCCAATGCAATTATTTAAGGCCATCCTATGCGAAATCGAATCTTCGTCAATTTACAATCACGCACAGGGGTCCAACAATTTGGAACAAACTAAGTAGAACTTTGCAAATTAGTCTCTCCTTCACCATTTTCAAAAATCATACTAAAGTAGCTTTCATAAAACCCCATATATTCCTAATTTTTTGTTTATGCTTCCTCGTTTACTAATTTCATTACTATTTTTCATTATTGTAGATAGTATTGTATCGTATTGTATTTTATTATTTTGTTTCATTTACCCGTTACCTAAGTTATTTCTTATTTATCCGATTGATTTGAATTGTTGATCACGTTATGAAGGGTGGCCTCCTCATAAGCATTTTATTCTTACGGCCTCCCTGCATCGTTACATTTCATTTATATTTTTATGTATTTGTACTGTTATATTTTGTTTTAAAGTGCGAATAAACTGAAACTGAACTGTACATATGCCCTCTTAGCCGTTAGGGTCACTTTTAGGTTGTCGTTTGGTAAGAGGGCATCTTCAAATTTGCATCACATTGTCACAGCTGGCATTAGAGTTGTTTAGCATAGAAGAGGAAACCAGCTAGTGCTAAAAATATTTTCAAGGTCAAACTCATGGAGTGACTAGTCAAAGACAACTAACATAACTTCCCTCCTTGTACCGTGGATTGACGCTTATCGAGCTTTTGGTCTAATCTGCCTAACTGTGTGCCAAAAACACACTACGAATTTGTTGCGCCAATGTGTCAACAACTGAACATTTGGCACCAAGAACCCTATTTTTTTAGTCGAAAACATTAATCCAAGAATACGAGTGTTTAACAGGCTTAGCTGACAGGCTTAGCTGACCTGTCAAATACAGTCTTTTACACTATTTGCATAACAGATTCATATACATTATTTGTAGCCGTCAACAATACTCCAATACAGCATTGTTGTAATAGCGATACTTACATGATACTTCATATTTCTGGGCCCTGTTTTTTATGCATTGCCCCTTAAATTTGACCAGATTTGTACCTATCATACAAAGTGCAGTCTTTAACACTGAATACATAAAACTCATTCTCAATCTTTTTGGTAATCCACTCTGACGTTGACATTTTGTTAAAACATCAGCGTGTCAAGTTTGAGGCGCCTTTTTTTTTTAAACATCAAACATGTTCTTTAGATTTAAAATATGCAATGGATTATCCCTAACATGTTAAAGTACGCTAAAGGTCACTGCTAGAGTGCAGTCGACCTTAGCTCATATTTTAAGGCTATAATTTAGAATAAGCAATCGACTTACCAGTTAGGTGGCCATTTCTTGTCTGAGATGCTGTATCATCGTCTCCGGGAATTACATTGTCTTGGAGTCCACCATCATCTAGGGTTTGATTATCATCTCGTGGTTCTATGCAATGAATAAAATTGTTAAAATTCCACTTAAACTAACGTATCTTACAACCCAATATTACATGTAATTACATGAAACAACTCAATATAAATGAAGGCATTTTTAACCATGCATTAAACAATAAAATGCTTACATACCAACAACAGCGCTTTCAATCGTTGATAAGAGACAAAGGCAAACTACGAGATGAACAACGGTATTCATCTTGGCGTAGGATTGCTGCTGCACACCAGTCCTGTGACGGCTTCTGAAACGCAATCGGCGCGCTGTAACTTTAAAAGCTCACTGAACACGTGACATTGAAAATCAATATGGATGTAGACATCAGATGTGCTTGTGATAAATTATTCAGTTGCTGTTGTTGGCTACGGAACGATTGGTTAACAAAGCAACGGTATTTTGTTTGTAGCAGTAATAGACCGTGGGGGGCAAAGGCAATCGATTTCTTGTCAAAAGGAAAAAGATGCAAAGAATAGCACCTTGCATCACGTTTTAAAGTGGATGTGCGTTGATGAAAGTTCTGTGACATCGTAACATTTATTACTTCCGTGATCAATGCTTTTTGATAATCGTTGAATAGTCAGCAAGTTAAAAGCAGAGTCCGTCTGTTATTGACATGGGTGGCCAACTTTAACTGGACAGCTAACATTTAGTTCAGGCATGTTTAACTTGCCGACTTAAAATGACAGCGTGAGATGTTTCCTGACCTAACAGGGTCATTTTGACGTAGCTGACAAATCATTTGATAATATGTTTTCTTCTTTTTATAATACTTTTTTGTGTAGAAGAGCATGTACATGTCATTCTTTCACATATATTATACTTCTATTCATTTTTACTGTATAATCCATTTTCTTTCTCTTAGACAATGTTTTCCACTTTAGTTTTACCGTATAAAACATTCTCTTTAATCAAGTTTTGGGCCACGTGCTGGCCATAGCCTTTATCACCTTGAACAAACTTGTTTTCGTCGAATCTAAATAACATGTTTTGTTTTAAATATTTTTAAACAAACTGTCCTGCAGTCCCAGAAAAACTTCTAGGGGGCATTCTGTCCAAGCACAAGAGCTACCTACCATGCAAAATTCGAGACCTTAGCATTTCCAAATCGCGAGATGCCAAGACCAGAAGTTCCGCTGCTCTACCAAGGAAATCACTAGGGGGCCAAAAATCTTATTTTTCTAGATTCAGTCACACCCTACGAACCAACTAAGTATGAAAATAATTTATCCAGCTATTCTACAGTTATCTTGTTGACAAAATTTAATGCATTCGCCGAGTTCTTAGAATACTTTTAACTCAATCGCAGTACTGAGGCATCGCCAAAAAATCTATTGCAAACCTCCATTGTCGATGGATATAGTTATCAACGGTGCTTTTTACAGGAATGCGATACATGTGTGAATTATCAATATTCACCCCGGTCACCATCATCATTTATTTATCTTCGTACAACTGATTAGGTTCCCATAACTGCATATATCTTTTTAATAGTGTTAGCAAAAACATCGTAGATATTGTGCTCTTAAGAACTTTTATCAAAATGTTTCCCTACATGACATTTCACTCAAAAACATGTTTTAAATCATTACGTTTGAGGCCATATGCTAGAAAAAACTTTTATCACATTAAACAAACTTGTTTTCGTCGTGGAATGTTTTCTTGTTGGTGCTTTATGCTACTTACCTCAATTAACGGAGATAACAATCTTGTACAAATGTTCCTGGTTCATGACT